CCGGGGAAATTTTTCATTTTTTAATAAAATACATGTACATGTACTGGTATTTATTGTATACATCAGGGAGTAGTACAATACCGTGGTATTGTACTACTCAGTACTCCCTGATGTATGCATGGTTATGGCTCTAAGTGACGGAGACATGCACAACTATTTAGCACAACACTGACAAGGCGCGAGACACAGCATGAAAGTGAGCTTGAGCATTGATGCCGTGGATTGTCTCAGTACCCCTTGTGAGTTTGTGCTCCATCATGCGGCTGATTTCCTTGGCTGGCTCACCAACTGAGTTTACAAAAAGTCGGTATAAAATGTAAACTAACTTCAACAAGTAACCCTGATGATGTGGCTGCAAGAATGGGTACTCGGTAGTCATGACTCATGCCGTCATGGATCGATTATGGAGTCGGAAACCCGGGCCGGCCGGGTTGCTTTGTGCAGCCTGCTGCGTAGCCGGGCTCCCTGATCTTTGCCTTGGCACTGGCAGCTGTCTGTAGAGTCGGCATGTAGCCATGGTTTCAGAACTGGGTGCGAGGGAACAAGCAGCTGGCGACGTTTCGTGTTTTTTTGTTGCTAAAACAGTAAAAAAAGTACGAAAATGTGAAAATGTTCCACATCACTGTTGCAGGGATTTCAGCAAATCACAAGCTGGTGGAAGAGTTCCTGAGTGAATACTATTTCATCGATGTGACTTTATATACTGTACACCATGCTACTTATCCTCCCGGAGAGCCGAGAGACGTAGATAGAATTAATTGTGCATCGCACTAGTGGACTGGCAGTGAAATTCCAGAATGAAGTTCGCTTATAAGGTGAGTGAAAGCATGCTTAGGAATAATGAGAAAATCATTGACTTTGTTCAAGAGCTGCATGTACATTCGCTGCGTGTGCATCCGCGATGTTGGCTTATTGGGCACATGTGTGCTTCTGTGGTACACGTGCAGTTCTCCAACCTGTGTGGTACGGTGTACAGTCAAGGTAATGTGACCTTCACAGCCAACGACTGCGTGGTCAGTCCTGTTGGGAACAGAGTGACGATATTTGATCTGAAAAAGTGAGTGCTCGGTTTACTGATCTATAAAAAAAAGTGTATTGAAGGATATGTGTAGATCATGCATGGTTAAGGTTGCTGACATTTGCACGAAAAAAGGTGGATGTTGGTGATTGACAACGGTCACAGTGCAACACTTCAGAGTATCCCTGCTCAATAGGCAAATACCTGTTGCTAGCAGGTTGCATCCACAGTAAGCCTCAACACACACTGGTAGGTGGATATATGCCGGCGGATGCACGCACCACCAGCAATGTCGCGGATCGTATGATTGCGGTGTATGCAACAATGACATCAATAGAGCATGCATTCTCAGCTGACGAAAAGGTTTGCCTTTGGTGTGCCTATGGTCCTTCTTTTGTAAATGCACTATATATATATACTGCAGTGTGTTAAAGAACTAATACCGTAAAGTACCGCAAGCACGCCGCACCATCATCTCGTCCTCTCGTGGTCGTGTTGTGGAGGTGGTGTCCTGTTTGTACGTCATACGACACGAACCTTGTACACAAATTGCACGCTGTGCAGTCAATCTGTACTCAATTTACCTTGGAGGAGACACGAGCTCCACACGAAAACCTGCTAAGTGTGACCTGTTAGTACACTAAGGTTCTCACACCGTACGAACTCCGTTGCACTCTGCCATACGATTTTCCTTTCCCTGGCTGTAAAATCAAGGTTGGGCCTCTCGAGATATGGGGCGCTCTCGCGTTACTTTACGGTAGTTGGCACTTACGCGTTCGTTTGGGAGCATAGCATAGGTACCTCCTTTCAACAGTGGCGCTGAGTAAAATCCTACCCAAACCGGCCAAAAAGCAAATTTGTGTGCCGGCCTTGCACGGCCCTTGACCCCCTACCCTGGTGCGGGTACGGATTCTCCTGGACGTACACATGTACAAATACAATGATGTAACTGAACTACTCCATTCTGGGTGCCAGCTTTTCACTTTGGGTTGGATTTCACCTAGCAAAACTGTATATACTGTAAGACATGTTATTATAACTAGTGTTGAAACGATCTCACCGGATACTCGTTAGCTCGCTCGCCAGAAACTCGGCTCGTTTGTGCGGCCAGCTCGTTTGCACTAACGAACACCGTACACCGTACTCCGTACACATGGCAGTACATGTCGACCGGGGAGTCGTAAAATATTTTACGACTCCCTGGTCGATCGAGAGTCCAGTCCCGCGCAAAGTGAAAATCACTCGCAGTTACAGTGACTGTATGCCTGCACGGCACTTGAGTTGTTTCAGTTGTCGTTGCAGCTTTGGTGGACTCTACTGATGTCTTGTTCCGCATCTGCTGACCTGTCGCAGGATATGCTTCGGTCACCTCTCCATTCGAGTGAAAGTAAAATAGTTACGCTCAGTCGTTTGGAAGTTTTCTCCCGAGATGCAGCGAAGACCAGGGCTACTTGCAATCTTTGCAAAACGGTCTATTCTTACAAAGGCTACTCGACGACGGCGCTGAAAAGACACCTCGACACCAAACAGCAGTCTGAAGTGAAGCAGCAGCAACCCCAAATGCCGGCGGTGATAATTTGAACCAGCTGAAAAAAATCGAACTTAGAAAAAGAATTATTCAAATAATCATATTTGCCACATCAACAAAACTCGTTAGCTGGCTCGATAGCTTGCTCGTTAGTGGAACTGATCGCTCGTTTCAACAACGAGTCGCAAATTTAACGATTGTCCAAAATTCATAGGTTAACGAGAAGATATGTTAACGATCTTGCAGTATTCTGCCATATCCACACACAGCATATATGAAGCAGTACGGCCTCAACGGATCTTATTATAACGAAGAAATGTCATCCGTTAAAACGTTAGATTTGCTTCCTCGTTATATATACATGTCTTACAGTATAATATTTCTGAGCCAAAAACTTGGTTGAGTAATGTTTTTTGCTTATACATCATCATCGGCTCCAAAATGTTTTAGCACAAGCCCAAACCGGAGTAGAAGCAGATTGTGTGAAAAGCATGTGTGGATTTGTGAGGGGAAAGAGCCCATTCCCCCGGAAATTCCAATCGTTTATCATTCGAAACGTGCTGTAGTGTTTCCCGGCTGCGCAATCTGACCTGAACGTATATCCCTGGTCCATTCTGCAGCACCACAGCACCGTAGCATACGTTCTTACTTCCTGTAGCTCCAGCTAATGCCTGCTCTTCTTTTCTCCTTGTGTGTAATTGTTTTTTGTTTGTTTGAATTTGTCTGTTACATCTACCCGCCGTGCAGTAACAAGTCCAGTACTCTGGAGTGCGAGAACCGGAAGAACATCGCAAGAATAGCGCTATCACCGAATGGCTGCACCTTGATAACTATTGACGAAGGTCAGTGAGGGCCGGAGAGATTACACTGAGTTGTACTGTGCATGTACAAGGTGGCGGTCCGAGACTGGACAGGGATGCTGTGCGATTGGGCAGTGTGCATAGCATATACACTGTACTCACTCCGGCTTGGCCCCCGTTGGTGCCGATATTGTAGGAGCTGCGTTTGTGTTGGCTGTATAAAGTCGATTACTTGCAGCTCTATTCCATGAGTGCCGTTCTTGCATTCTCCGTGGCTTTTCCCCCACTGCAGATGGCCATGCACTGCTGATTAGCGTGGCACACGGCACTATTCTGCATCACTTCAACTTCAAGGAGCGCGTTCGGGACATCATCTACAGTCCGTGCGGGAAGTGAGTATGCTCAGCAGGGCGTATGTAGAGTACATGAGACAGTACCCATGCTATCTTGATACTCATCACTCGTGAATGTGAATACATGTATGATATAGATTTTGATATTACAGCATGTGTCATAGTGTTGGGTGTTGCTATGTTCTTCATGCCTGCTTCATGCAGTGATGCCGGACATCTACATACACAAGGAAGTGCTAGTCTGTACTCTACCCTGATGTTTTGGGTGGCATCTATTCCAGATTTTAATACCGTATTATCCCGAGTATAAGCCGCACCCGCCATTTTTTTGCCACGAAATACAGATATCTAGTTTTTATTATCTACCCTATTTATCACCGTTGGAGTATAAGCCGCACCCCCCCCCCCCCTTTTGGGTGAATTTTGAGTGTTCAAAGTGCAGCTTATACTCCGTGGAATACGATAGTCTGCTAGTGCATGTACATGTACAGTCAGACCTCACATAACCGCACACATCCGTTTTCCACAAAAATGTCCGGATAGGCGAGGGAACCGGATAATCAAACACACAAACTGTATGTATGCATGCCATATGCTGTAAATCGGTAACCAACGATTTTCTTCCGGATGGTGAGGTATCCGGATAAAAGAGGACCGGATAAGCGAGGTTTGACTGTACATACCGGGATGTGCTTTGCTTCAGGCTGCATTGGATCACAAGAGAATTCTACCTGCATTTCATTCCATGCAGCTTGGCTGGCCTAGCAGCACCGCCCACAGCTTAGCTCAGCTAGGTTCTCGCCCTGTACTCATCATGTGCAGAGTTGGGTCAAGGCCAGCTGCGGCTACAAGTACTTGAATTGCATGTGACTCAGTGATTTGTTAACTGACAAAGCGCTAATTTTACTTCTGCTGCTGCTAATTGCAGGTACTTTGCTGTAACGCATGGCAACAAAATGCAGATATGGCACGCGCCAGGGACCACCGTGGACTTTGCGCCGTTCCGTCTGATGCACTTGTTCCCGGCTCAGTTTGACGAGAGCACGTGCATCGACTGGTCGTCCGACTCGCGGTTCATTGTGGTAGGCTCTAAGGATATGACGTGTCGTATCTATACGGTAAACCACGTTCCTGGATTCACTGGTGTCACGCTGTCTGGCCATCGCAACACAGTGAAGGGTGTCTACTTCGAGGAGAACTCCCTCAATGTATCCTCCTCACTCTCTTCTGGCTGCTTGTGTATTTCTGTATTGTGCGTGCGTGTGTCTGTCTGTCTGTACTGTGCCCTTTTGTGTTAAGCG